AGTTCGCTTCACTACATCTTACTGTACGATGATGATGATGATGATGATGATGATGATGATGATGATGAGTGTACCTCGGTCCATGAGCAGTGGTAAGGGGGTTGGTACTCTGCTTCTTTTACGCAAATAGGCAGAGCCTCTTCGGGGCGGTGACTGCGGTGGCTGCCATACTGTCTTTAAAGGTCTCTCTTCTCCGATGTTTGGTCGAGCTGCACTGATTACGGATGACTTGGTGATAGTTATACCTTCGACCGGTTTTCTAGAAGAATTTCCAAGCTCTGTTTTTTTCTGTGCAGGTTTCTAAGTTCACGGACAAATCGTGGAGTATCTTTGGTATACGTCCGAACTACCGGAGGTGGAGAAAACACGCCGACTAAATGGGTGATATTGGTCTTGATATGTACCCACCTCGTTTCCACATCATCGTCATCATCATCTGTTGGCCATTGAACGCACTGAGCAACCGTTCGCAGTTCCGTGAATGGTATCTTCCACATATTGGGACGCTGCTGAACGTCTTTCTTGAAATGCAAACTTCTGCATCAGTAAATGATGACAGCCACATGATCACTTGATTCAGTCGAACTACATCCTCCAAATCAGAGATTCTCGACGATATAACAAGGTCTACCACCGATGCCAAGCTCCCCTGGATGCGCGTGGGACCTTGCATTTGTTTGTNATATTCACATTCGAGCCTAAAGTCTGGAAATATAAGACAGAGAACGAGGTGAAATTACCCAGAGAGCGATCAGAAGAAATTCGTATGCGATGACTTCAAAGCGAAAATGTATCTGTTCGGAAATGTAAAAAAAGAGATTCAACGAGGATGCTGTTTGTAACCAAGTGGTGAGCTTAAGTCACGGTTGATCAAAGCGGGTTCTGTTTTATTGGGTTGGGAATTGCTGCGTTATTTCGATTCATGGTGACTTTATCTGGACTTCAAGGACAAAAATGAGCACAAGTAGTAAAAACTTGAAAAACCCGCATTCTCGCGCAATCGCAATTTAAACAATATGGATGAAACTTTGAGAGTAAGGGATTTACCTCAATCAGTCCGGGCGGAATGTGATGAGCGAGGCAACCCAAATCGAAGATGTTATCTTCACTGAAACGTTGGAATGTCGAAAGCAGAAGGTGCGTCAGATGGAAAATGACGGAAACAGTTGGATAGAAACTCTGATAAAGACGAAAAACAAATTCGTGTCGCACACAAATGTTGTGAACTGTTTTCAGTTCAATGATGAAACAAAACATCGATGAAAGATATTTTACCCAGCTGGGTCGATGGATTGGCGATGCTGATGAGGTTTAGCCGGGTCGGTCCAGTTGTCCAGTGCCTCCTAGCCATCCAACTCACGCTTCATTTGCACAACAAACTCATCGTATAAAAAGCAGCATCCACTAATTCTCAGAGAAACATAATAAATATGAAGTCTGATTCACAGGCTAGAACGTGTGCCAATCCCCAAACGGGTATGAAATCATAATCCTTTTGTTTTTCATTATCAAAGCGTGCAAAAGCAGTTTTAGTGACGCAGTCAATCCAATGCGAGTTTATTGTTGCTTTTGGTGGTGCTTGCCTACCTGTACATGTTCGTCCGCGAACAGTTATTAATCACATGTGCTACGACTGTTTCAAACAGTTCTATTCCCTCCCCTTGTGGAGATTAAACAAAATATAAACACTGCTAGAAATTTGTCTCCTTTCGGTTAATGTGTAATTTGTGAAACTGATTCATAGAAAACCTGAGAAAAATGAAACTGAAATTTCTGGTAATTCAAACAATATCTCCATGTGTAATCACGTACAACGATGTTCTTTCGCATTTGTTCTAGTTGTAGACGGGACTACTCATAATGCCCTTTTGACTGGTGGTAGTAGTAGTAGTAGCAGTAGTAGTAATAGTCAAATCAATCGAAATCATTTGATATTCGTAGTTCTGATCACACAGTTCTATCCGTTCTGTCTGCATCCAACCTTAAGCAGTGGCTCCACCGGTTCGGTTTGTTGGTCGTTGGCTAGATGAACTCGCATTGCTGCTGACGAGTCCTAACCAGGTCGAAACAGCTGCCCAGTGCTTCCTAGCTTTTCAGTTCACGATTTATTTGCCATATACACGGCAAATTTCACCTTTGATATTGAATCAAATCCTCCATTAATCTCACGGTGAAGAATCAACAAAAGATGAGCGAGAAAAAATCAAGTCCAATGAATGACAGCTAGCATACCCCAGAGATAGGTTGCTCAAACGTCCGAGTACAGTGGAATAGCAATAGTTGTACGCGATCACAACAGAGGGATAGAGTGACTGGAAGTCCAGCACTGCAACCGGTCCATCCACGAACAGACGACTTTCCGGTTCCAAATTCAATGGTATCGCCTCTGGCGCACGCTGTTTGGCCCGTTGCGTGACACTCGGACTGGGTAACAGGAAATTGGCCGAACGAGCAGTTCGGGCCAGAAGCGATTCGACACGATACTGGAATTAGAGTGCAGACAAAACGGAAGTAGTGAGAGACCGGTATCATTTCTTTAACTGTTACATATCGGCTAGTTCGGACTAAATATGGATATTTGGCTGGCTATGTTACAAAGTAGCAATATGCAGCGATTCACACACACACACACACACACACACACACACACACACACACACACACACACACCAGTTTTGAACAGATGTCCAGGAATTATAAGAAATTGCCTGAGGGGGAGAGGAGAGACAGACCGATTTGTGAAAAACCGGAGGAACTGGTGGGTTCCTTGACCAATACTTGGTATGAAAAGCGAACTTGTTTAGTAAAATCTGGTAAGCTAAATACTTTCTCAATCACACAACAATTCACTACCCGTAGTATGGATCTGATGAGGTGTAATGACGAATTCAAATTGTGCTACGTCACCTAATTTGAAGTAGAACGATAAGTCTGTTTGCGATGAGTTTATCTAAACGTTTCAAAATTGTTTCAGCGGGCTGTTGTATGCTAAATCAGTATTCTCGTTAGTATACTCGGTTGTGAGCAAGAAGTTTGTGTTCCGGTCGTAAAGCATCCGGCTGATGGATACACCCGATTGTTCACACCCAACACAGTAGAAACAGATAGGCAACATTTTCCAGGTAGTGTTCATTTTCGCCTCCGAAAGCCACAGTATGGTCGGGG